CGAACCACTGCAAGCCGCACACAGCCGCCCCACCTGGCGGCGTTTATTTCACCTACATACCATCGGGTGACGCGCCAGCTCGAACGCAATTGGATGGCGTTCAAAATGACCATGAATTTGGGCATAAACAGGTGATATCCCTTAAAACCCAGACCCAGAATCTGGTGGTTTAGCCTGCTTAGGGGTCGATAGGGGTGGTTTCTACCCCTAAAAGGTGAATTTCCGCAGTGCTACAAGAAAGCAGACATAATTACGAGTATTTAAAAAAAATGATTTCATTTGGATTAGATTTACTGCCTCGCGCGTAGTTTTGATCGTTTCCGCCCACTGTGAGACGATACGGCATTCTTTATATCCGATTATAATAGGAAGAGTCTCACCTTGAAACTTCTAAAGCTACCAATCGCTTAGGCGAATGGTTCCGCCTATGTAGAATCGAAGTGAATCCCGAAAAAAGTGTAGTAATATACTTTGAACGGAGTTCAACGCCAAAAAAGATTCGAGGGCCAAAAATAGCAGCTTAACGCTGCTGTGTTTCGTATGGTGAGTGTAGAGAACCGGAGACCCTTTTTAATGGAAATGAGGTATTCCATTTTAGGCTTAGCCCTCACGGGTGACACCGCATCTGCATTTTGATTTGTAATCGAGGATAGATGTAGATGTATATGGGCCGCAGCAACCACTTACCATCAGGTGGACTGTGTGCCTGTTAGTCACCCTTATTCTGTAAAAATGTAAGGAAATCAGAACGTATGAGAAATAAAATATTCTCAACACATGTGAAGTTCACTACCACGCACTGGAGTAGATAAAAATTGGTCCACTGTAAAAAATTGGCACGCGCAGAACTAAAAGCTTACAGTGGTAAGGGAATACTATTTCTATAAGTCACTCGTAGAAGGAAATACGCCAAAATCAGGAATCGATGCATATGTAGAGATGCGCAACGACGCCATATTCATACATCAGTCGAGAACGGCGACTCATCTAGGGTGTGGAAGTTTCTTAAAACAGTTGGAGTTGGTAGAACATCCCTAAATGCTTCACCTCCTAGTGTTGATGTTGAACTATTAAATTAACATTTTTCTAATCCTTTTAACTCTTTTGATAGTGAACATAAACTGCAAAAACTTCGTTCTCTTTCTGTATTTCCGACTCCTAATTATCATCCGTTCGTTTTTAGTCAGTTTACTGAATGTGATGTTAAGAAGATCATATTATCCATCTCCTCAAATGCTGTCGGTAGCGATAACATTAGACGTAATATGATTGTTCCTCTCCTTGATGTTATCACTCCCATTATCACTTATTTACTTAATGCATGTGTCTCTTCCTCTAAATTTCCGCAAGCCTGGAAGAGTGCTCATATTATACCCCTTCCGAAGAGATCTAATTCCGTCAACCTCTTTGATTTCCGTCCCATCTCGATCTTACCTTTCCTTTCTAAAGTCCTTGAAAAACTTATTTGCCAACAGCTGACCCTTTTCCTTAATAAGCACAAATTATTGAATTCCTTACAATCCGGTTTCCGTCCTGGTCATAGTACGGCTACTGCCTTAATCAAAGTTACTGATGACATACGGTGGGGTATGGATAACAAACAACTCAACTTCAACTTCAGTAATGCGTTCAATACTGTTGACTTCGATATACTGTTGAGTCTGTTGTGTTTAGAGCTTGAGTGTCGGACCATTTTTCAATTCCGGAATTGTGTTTCAATATTAAGCAATACAGTTCCGGAATTCGAAGTCTCCTTTAAAAATGGTAAACAAAATGCATAATATTTATTGATTATTATATATTATGGAAATATAGGGACAGTATTTTAGTAGGAAAAAAACTATTGAAATAACTATTAAGAACTTTAATTTAAAATAAGTATACCAAAAATAAAAAATATTTCTCTACCAACAAGTCTTTATTTATATGTTATTTTATTGCATTTATTATCTATATATCGCATGTATTGATATTATATGTTGTATATTTATATTGCACCACCTACCACCTACCTTCTACCTTCATTGTTTTATTTCTTTACACATTTGGTTGCCTGGAAGACATCGCAATGTAGAGATAAGGCCGCCAAATTGTACATATTATCATCTGATTTTTGTTGTTATGTCATTTGTATATTTGTTCGTGGTGTACAATAAAAGTATATATATTCATTCAAGGTTTGTCGGTGATCACCCCTCCCACTTCTCCAAACCCCGTCCTCCGCTAATTTCCTTACTACTACTCTGTTGCACTAACTGGACTTATGGCAGGCCTGTCGTAAGGCCCGTTAGTGCAACAGAGAGCTCAAAGCGCAACAGACGACGTCCTGTTTCCCCATTTTGTTGTACCGCGGGCAGCGAGTGTTTAACCGGCAAAATTTTTTCGTGCGAGCTGTAGTAAATCCTGGGTTCAGTTCGGACTTAAGCTTTTATTAAATATTTGCGCATACTAACTGGAAACCAACCCACACAGACACATAGAAGGCTACGAGCCCCCACCGAACGCCACCCTGGACTACTCGTACGTACGTCCTCAGCACATCGCACCCGTCAACAGTTTGCTGGCGCAGTTCTTCTGGCCTGGCATTGATGGTGAGACCATTTTTTCTACATAAAATTGTGTGTAGTAACATTGGTTAAGTTTTATTAATTACCAAACAAAGTATTATAGTTGTCCGATGGAATAAATAAATAATTATATTCGTTTCCCTTAGTATCGGAATCCCTGCAACACCCAGAGTTCAGTTGCATTGTGACGTATAAGAAGCTGGTGGTAGCGTGCGCTTTCCTGGTGCCCGACGTGGGTCCCAACGAGGCCTACATATCCTTCATACTCACCAGGCCCGAGTGGAGGAACGCCAAGATCGCCACCTTCATGCTCTATCATTTATTGCAGGTAATGTTAAATAATAACAATAATAATCTTATGGGGAGGAGGAGAAGCGGACGTGGTTGTTGGATGTTGGCATTCCAAACTAGCACAATGTGCAGACGTACAGCATTAAGTACCAGCGGCTGGCTAACGAAATCCGACAGTTGAGGCGGCAACAGCAGGTGCATATCGTCCTGCTGATTCTCTCTACCACGGGAATTGATCCTAAACCCCTTACTGAGAATTTGGCGATGCTGGGTATCTCAGTGAGACTGAGGAACAAAATATGGAAAGGCTTACAACGGTGATCGTACGTCGCCACATCACAATTTAAAAAAAAAGAGCGGGATCTTGCGACCACCCGATGCCGTATCTAAAACGTAAGGATCCGATATACCGAAAAAGATCTAATGAAAGTATCTATAATAATAATAATCTTATTATTATTATTCCGGTTCTTTCCCGTTCTCCAGGGCTTCCAACTGGTTTGGTCATTATTTAATTATGTATTTTTATTTATATATTCTACTATATTTAATGTATATTTATCATTTTCTTGTATGTACAAGCATATTTATACAGCCCAACCAGATGAGAAAACTATATAAATACCCCAATCTTATTATTTATTTCTTTTATAATATTTTATTAATGGTATTATGTTCAACATATACTTTATTTTTATATATTTATTTATGTAGCCCAACCAGATGAGAACACTATATAATAAAAATCTATTTTGAAGGTGTGAAACTCGCCAACACGCATTGGGGCGCGGCGGACATTTCCTTGTCCTAAACCCCTCTCAGAAAAGAGTGGAGGCGTGTGCCCAGCAGTCGGACGTATATATGTTGTACTTCTAAAAACTACTTACTAAAATAAATAAAGTACTAAAAGGATACAAGCTGTAAATTGCTTACTAAATTAAATGAAAAAAAAATTCGTACAAACATGTTTATTTTATATAGTGTATGTGTGCATTTTCAAGGAGCTAATTTTGCATGTATCAGTTCATGATGTTTTTTTAACGTTTTTGTTAATTTTAGACTTGCACAGGCAAAGATGTAACTCTACATGTCTCACCGACAAATCCAGCCATATTTCTTTACCAGAAGTTTGGTTTTAAGGTAAGTTCCGTAATAGAATAATTTACCATGTTATATATAATAGTACAATTTGCCTTTTTATTTACATACAAAAAACTATACATGTGATGTCAAATTAAAACTTAGTTAAAAAGTAAAGTAATAGCTTACACTTCATAGCTAGTTATCTACCTCTCATTACTGATTGGGTTTCAGAGAGAAAAAAGTTGTCTGTACTGTGATACTACTTGATGGCAGACAATATAATAAAATGACATATTTTACATATTAAAACATGTAAAGGTGACTAATGAGTACACAGTTCACCTGATGGTGTGTAACCCATATACACAATTATCAGAATCAAAATGCAGATGCGCTGTCACCCGTGGGGACCAAGATATAAGGACAGTTACCAGTAAAAATTTATCAATAGAATCGGGCAGTATTTTACTAATTTTTAACATCTTTAGTAAGTTTTCTGAGGTTCTTTACACTCTCAAAACAAAACACTGCAAAATTATGCTCCTATTTAATGTTAGAATTCTGGAAGGGAGGTCCCTTCAGAGTTGAGTCGATAATTCACCAGTTTTCAGCAGCGATAAAAGGGCAAGACATTTGGTTCTGCAATTTGCAACTGTAAATACCAAGGTTAAATTCAGTACAGGCAGACAGTATAAAAAAAGTATGTATATATTTCGAATGTAATTAGGACATCTGCAGAAGAATAAGAGTAACTGACATAGCCTAGAGGATCAGTAAGCTAGTCACCATTGGCTGCTCATATAGCTCATATAACTGACAACTGATGGGAAAAAATGTTTCTCGAATGGCAACCATTAGAGGCCTATGTTCTTTAGTAGACTTGTAAGGGGCTGTAGTTGAGTTGTGATACTTCTTATAAGAAAAATTTTGACTATGTTTTCCCACTAAATTTTTATACATAAAACATAAGCTGAAAAAACTAGTCTTCTCTAACAATACCTATTCCGTTGATTGTAAAATCTTGTCAGGGATTACACTTGATAAAATAAAACTATTTAACTATGAAGCACCATTTTTATAAGCTGGTGGTTTATTTACAAAGCCCTCTTCTAGAAGATAGTCATATATTTTTCTAGTTTTGTTGACATCTATCTTGAGCACCCTTCGTGCATCCAGCAGCCGCAGGCATCCTAATTTATTATTCTCTGCTACTAATTGTTTTTTTATTTCCATATAACTCTGAGGTAACAACCTCAAATTTGAACAGAGATTTTTCTCACTATCCAGTAAAAGATTGAAACCTGGCAGATCTACAATATCCAAAGGCATTGAAGTTCTTTTAAACTTCTTATTTAAACCATCTTTTAGGATAGATTGCTTTGTTTTGACAGGAGACTGTCTCTCATAAGTATTTTGCATAATAGATGTAGCATATTTCTGTTCCTTGAAAGCTAAGGCATTTTCTCTTTTCAACTGTTTGTAAAGTCTCGCAGAATACAACGTCTTTATACCATTCTTTCGGTAGTCGATCAGTCTGAATATTCTTTGCATTATTTCTTCTTCTAGACTCAATGCCTCTATGAATGCATCAAACTGCATTCCTGTCATGAATTGCATGAATGCAACTAATCTTTCGGTTTTACATCTCATCAATGTAGTATCAAACCTCTTCAACCATGAAAGCAATTTATTTGGCATTATCAAACCATGGTTTTTGATGATATTGTACCGTCGCTGCCTTTCCTTCAGCCTTGTGTTCAGAGCACTTACTAAACTGACTTTCAATGCATCCATGCACTCTTCATCATCTTCATCTTCAGAGTAACTGTCCTCCATATTGAAAATATTTTCTGCATTATGATCATAGCTGAGTTCAAATTCAGATCTGTAGGCATTGTAACCTGCCAACTGCTGTTCCGACTGATTGTTCCTGGGGGGATTAATACTTGTCTGCAAATTATACAAGTAAGGTATAATTGGCTTGGGGAACAAGGATTGTTCTGTTTCTGGTAGTATCTTCAGCTCATTATATTGTACATTTTCAATGTAATACTTCTTATAATGTTCTTGACATTCAAGTTTTGATCGTGTGTGCACTACTTTGGATACTTCTTCCCAGTTTCCAAATCCATATGTAGATATTGCAGACAGTAACTTACACTCCTCTTTAGCTGACCAATTACAGTTTTCGAAAAGAGGGAAATCGTTCCTTCGTACAGCGTACTTGTGGTTATTTTTGTGGTCGCCGAGCTCCCTGCCGGCAGCAAAACATGTTGTACACAAATTCGTGTCACATTCACAGCATTCTATAAAAGGTTCGTGCGCAACCTCACAGCATCCATCACAATTTACTTGTAATATATCAACTGACATGTTCACCCGCAGGTCGAGGAGTTAATACAAGACTTTTACGAGAAATACTACGACATCGACTACAAGGGATGCCGGCATGCGCTGTTTTTAAGACTAACCAGATAAAAACTGCAGTAAATTATATGAGTTTTATTTGAATTCCGCCCTAATTAATAAATTCCTAATAAATGCTCTTGACATCTAAATGTTTTTAAGCATTTAAAAAAAAAAATATTTACCAATTGACAATCACTAGTGATGTGCTGAGTGTCAGGTATCTTCATATTGGCTTTAGCAAAAATATCAAAATATCGATATTTTCTCTATATATTTAAATGCGATATATCTATATTTTAGAGAATCGAATTCGTATCAATTTCGATATATTTCGTATTAATGGACAAAACGAAGCAACAATAGCAGCTACAAAAGCATTCATGTGCGGTTCTCATTTTTTTCGTCCAACCGTCTGATAAAATTTTTGGTGTAGTCCTAGCTTCTAGTACATCATGCAAATGACGATATATTGATATTTATCACGCGATATATATAGATACTGTAAAATATCGATATATTTTTTTCACTTATGTATCCCTAACTTCAAGTTATCGTATCTGACCACAGACAGATTTAGTAATTTTACTATACTCGTTGGTCAGATAGACTTAAGCTTGTACAGGCTCAGAAGGGCTAGAAGCTAGAACCCGAAGCTGTAAAAGCAGTTTAAAAAAATTAAGCTTGTACGGACCATAGACTTAGTCTATCTACAGCATAGACTTAGGATATACTGGCGTATAGACGACCTGACAGCCCGAAAACGCGTACCAATTTCGATTTGTTATTGTGTGAGTTCGCTAGTGATGCAGATTTTACTTAAAACGGCTATCGAAAAATTTTTGTTCAGAAACCGGTTTAAAGACTAAAAAAATAGTTTAGTGCACAGAACTAAATAACTTTTGTGCACTAAATTATTTTGTTAAAAATTAACTAAATTTTTACCATGATAGTTTTAAAATAACTAATACTTACTTATCTTCACGCACAATCCCTGACGGGGTAGCCGGAGAGAACAGATCGCCAAGTGTCACGATCCTTACATATCTCTTTCGCTTCTTTCAGATTCATTATCTTCTTCATACATGCACGTCTAGGTATCCGGGTACTCTTGACCCTACCCTCTTCGAGTAATTTGCTCACATGGTCTTCGAAAGTTAGTCTCGGTCTACCTCGACACCTTTTTATATTAACTTTCGCGCTATATATTTTCTTCACCATTCGGTCTTCACTCATTCGCTCAACGTGCCCAAACCACCGAAGCACGCCCTTATTAATTTTTGTGATAAGGTCATCTTTCAAACCTGCCATATTGCGAATCTCTTCGTTTCGCTTTCGGTCGGCCATAGTAACGCCGCACATTTTACGAAGAGATCGCATCTCCACTGCATTCAACTTACTTTTATGCTTCTTCTGGCATACCCAGGTTTCGCTGCCATATAACAAAGTCGGTACCAACACTGCGTTATGTATTGCAAGGCGTAGCGAAGAGTGCACTCTTCGCTACGCCTTGCCTTTTGACTAACGCAGTCAGGGCACCATTGACTTTGTTCCCGGCAGCGACACGCCTGTCCACATCTAAATCACATCTTCCATCCCGGCTAAAAGCACTCCCCAAGTATACAATTTCATTTACCTGTTTTAGACATTCCTGATTTACCCATATTTCACACTTCGTTCTCTCTTCGTCCCTTTCAAATACCAGAACCTTAGTTTTATTAGCATTCAAACGGAGACCTTTAATTTCACATTCCTCTTTCATACACGTGACTAATGCCTGCAGTTCTGCCTCTGATGGTGCAATAACCACTGCATCATCAGCATACAGCAGACAATTTACTTTTATGTCACCCAATTTCACACCCAAACAGCTATCTTTCAGCTTCTGTAAACAGCTGTCGAGATACAGTATGAACAGCCAGGAAGACATAACACAACCCTGTTTTACGCCCGTTTGGACGCTAAACATGGGTGACAGGTCATGCCCTACCCGCACACAGGCTTTACAGTCACAGTAAAGAGACTGCACAGCCCTTAGCAATCGGCCATCCACACCATACCCCGGCAACATTTCCCACATTTTCTTCCTTACAACCTTATCAAATGCTTTCTCAAGATCCACAAAAGCACAGAAAATCTTCTGGTTAGCAGCCAGAAGCTTTTCCGTGATCATACGGAGAGAAAACATTTGATCCGTGCATCCTCTTCCAGGTCTAAATCCGCATTGTGCCTCCCATAGAAATCTTTCCGATTTCTCTTGCATCCTACGTGTCAAAACCTTCGAGTAAACTTTACTTGCTAAACTGGTCAAGCTGATCGCCCGATAGCACCCGCAGTCAAAATGTGAACCTTTACCTTTATATAAAGGCACAATGACTGCGGATCGCCAATCATCCGGGACATCCCCCGTCCGCCAGCACAAATTGCACAGCAGATGAAAGCTGTCCCAGACGCGAGGCCCACCATACTTGACCATTTCAGCAGTAACTCTGTCTAGTCCCGCAGCCTTACCACATTTCAAACTTCGAATCGCACGTTCAATCTCTTTCATACTGATGACCTCAGTGTCATCGAGGTCCGGGTCTGGCGTGCCAGTCACGGCGTCATCCCCGGATCCCTCACTAAGATCATCATAAGCATACATTTCTCTATAAAATAACTAATAATATTCAAATAACATGTTACCGGGAATAAGCTGCACCCACATGCCTTTTCTATCATTCATAATCCATTACAGCCTATAAAAATATATAGATTACCCCATAGGGGGGATATTTGCCATCGCTTTCCCAGCGGGTTGTCAACCACAGTTTTTTATTATTTCGAGTTGTTATCAGGAAAATGCTGCTGCCCATCGCCTCTTTCAGTTTCCCTTTGTCGCCTTTTATGACACACATGGGACGATATTGGGGAGTGGAAATTCTTTCACCGGCACCGGTGTATATACTGGGTGTTCCAAAAATATCACGTCAGAGCGACATGGAAGATAGTTTAGCCTTAAATCTTGCAGATAAAAAAAAATTACTTTTGTAAAAAGTTTTTAGTTTTCGAGATATCGTCAATTATTTTATTTTCTCAAAAATCTCTACTTTATGTTAGTGTTTCTACTGTTGTCGTTAGAAATACCTTGAAATTCTTTGGTTTTTATATATTTTTTATTTCTCGAACAGTTTTTCCATGCATTGAAATTAATTTGCCCCAAAATCTCGTGTATTTTTTAAGAAAAAAAATTATTTGTGTTACTTTTTTACCTTTGTAAAAATTTCACTTCCAACTTTGATGACCTACCATGCAAAAAAAATGTACTGACGTAAACTGGCAAATAATTTGGAAAATTGCTCTATTTACTGCAGATTCAGAAAAGGTATAACACTTACATTAATTATTTTTAAAAAATGTAGAAATTAGCATTTTTACATTAAGGGTAGCGCTAAAGCCAAAGTTATTGACTTAGATATGGGATATTGACAAAAAAAAATGGAACTTTTTGATTCAACGTGTTTATTAAAGCAGATGCTCGAATTGTTTGCCTCTAGTTCGAATACATAATCTACATCTTTTGATAAAATTATTTTTTAATCTTAAACTTATTTGGGATATCTCTTGAGCCGCTACGTTTATTCGGTTACGGAGTTTCCTATCGTTGTGTATTGGTTTTAGGTACACTTTATCCTTGAGACAACCCCAATAAAAAAGTCCAAAGGATTTAAGTCAGGGGATCTCGGGGGCCATAAGATTGGCCCTAATCGCCCAATCCACCTTCCTGGGAACCTATCGTCAAGATAGGCTCGAACGTCTCGAGCGTAATGTGCTGGGCAACCGTCGTTTTGGTACCACATCGTTGCCCGTGTTTGTAGTGGCACATCCTCTAGGAGCGTTGGCAATTGGTGTTGAAGAAATGCCAAATAGTTTTCACCATTTAATGCCGGAGGTAGTTCTACTGGTCCTAATATTGAACCATTGAAGATTCCTGTCCATAAATTGATTTTAAACATGTATTGTGAACGGTCTTCTCTAGTTTCATGCGGGTTTTCTAACTGCCAACTATGAATATTGTGCAGGTTAAGGTATCCGTCCCTTCTGCACTGAGACTCATCAGTCCACAAAACTTTATGAAAAAAGTCGGGATCTTGCCTATTTAGCTCCAGCATTCGTCGGCAAAACAGCACTCGTTTTACATAATCACCCTGAAGGAGAGTTTGCACTCTTTGTATGTGGTATGGGTGAAACTGATACCTTTTTTTTAAAATACGATAAACCGATGATTTCGTTATTCCAGTGCGGCTTTGTATCATACGAACCGAAGTCGAGGGCTCCTCTTCGCGTTCCTGTAGCACGATGTCGTCCTCAATTGTTCGCGGTCTCCCAGATTGAGAACCTCGAGTTCCAGGTATTCTACCCTCCCTGTAGGCAGAATCCAATCGTTTAATCACCTCATATGTCGGATGTACACGGTCTGGATACCGTTCCGCATACAATCTTGCAGCCAACCTTGCGTTTAATGACACTATGCCTCGAGTAGAAACTTGCCTGGTTTCGCCGTAAATCAGGTACATGTCAGCGTACTCACGATGTGTAAAGCGACTAACAGCGCCTTGTCGTGGATTTTCCATTATTAGTACTTTAACAACAACATCAATCAGTTCAACAATAGTCCAAGTAGTAAGCAAATCAAAGTCCAATTAATAAACGCCGAGTAGACAAAAATATTAAAAGCAACGAGGGGAGCACAAACCCGCACGTGTATCACGAAAAACTGATGATAACGTACTAAAAACAAAACCAACTACCGAAGCTACATGTGCGAGACTGAGATAGCACTGTACTCCCCCTACTCACAGCTGTCTCGCTCAGTTTATGACCCGAGAACGGGTTGCTGCGATGCTAAACACAAAGACTAAACAACATTCCTTTTCATTGCTTTTGAAAAAAGAATTCGTTTATTCAATACCAAAGTACAGCTTCCCGCTGAGAGCGCTACCCTTAACGTAAAAAATGCTAATTCCTACATTTTTTAAAAATAATTAATGTAAGTGTTATACCTTTTCTGAATCTGCAGTAAATAGAGCAATTTTCCAAATTATTTGCCAGTTTACGTCAGTACATTTTTTTTTGCATGGTAGGTCATCAAAGTTGGAAGTGAAATTTTTTCAAAGGTAAAAAAGTAACACAAATAATTTTTTTTCTTAAAAAATACACGAGATTTTGGGGCAAATTTACTTTCAATGCATGGAAAAACTGTTCGATAAATAAAAAAAATATAAAAACCAAAGATTTTCAAGGTATTTCTAACGACAACAGTAGAAACACTAACATAAAGTAGAGATTTTTGAGAAAATAAAATAATTGACGATATCTCGAAAACTAAAAACTTTTTACTAAGGTAATTTTTTTTTATCTGCAAGATCTAAGGCTAAAATATCTTCCATGTCGCTCTGACGTGATATTTTTGGGACACCCAGTATAGTGAATTAGTGAAGTAGTATATAGTGAATTAAAAGCCTTTTGTTGGATTTTAATTCAAAATGTACAAAACTGCAATAATATGTGAAGAGGCGAGGTAAGTCTAAAAATATTTAATGCCATTTACAATTTCCCCGGAATTTATTTCTTTTTCAACATAATGTTAATCAAATATATATAGGTAGATACTTAATTAAGTATCTACCTATTTATATTTTATAAAATGTTTTGCTGGTAAAATAAAAAACGAGGACACGGAGTATATAATGGCTGCTTTATTTTTTATATAATTATTACCTTTAATATTTATAAAACAGAATCGGAAACAAAAACAAGAAAACAAAATCATTTAATCTATGATAATATAATAAAGCGGAAGAGTTATTTTGTTTATTTTTTTTTTGTTTGTTTTAAAACGCTAATCTCTGGACCTACCAGTTCAAATTTAAAATTTTTGTATATAATAGCCAGATTCATGAGGAATAGTATAGACTAGTATATAACTATCAGCTAACGTTATATATTGATTTTTGTTAAGCAAGTCGGAAGAAAAGGCGCTCTCTAACTGCTTTATCCACGTGCGCTAGCGTAACATTTAGTATTACATAAATACAATGTTCTACAAAAATATTGGTCTTTGCTCCATCTAAAAAAAGTTTATAGCATGTTATTTGGACGCATAGGTTAAGAGATAATGAAATATTAAAATAAAACACTGCTCGGAACGCGAACGACCGCATAAGCCCTAGCCGCCCGATGAAATTCGAGAGAAACCAGCAGTGAACGCCTATATTGGTCCGAAAGCTCATGACGCATTTTTTTAAGAAGTGTTTGATGCATCATGAAACTTTATCCATAATGCTTCTGGCTTACCCATTCAGTGAATTCACGTATACTCATTTCATCAAAAGTGAAAGACATAGTTTTAGATCAGCTCCTTTTTTCTCATTTCTCTAATGGTGTTTAAAGATTCTTGAGTGAAAACAGGTTCACAGTGTATTCTGGCATACCAGGTACGCAATGTTTTAACGTGTGGAAGACACAAATCAAATTTTTCACGTAAATAATTATTTATTTTTTAATATTTATTTTATTTTATTAAGAAAACCAACAGCCTTACAAATTGTATATCTTATAACTATGTGTAATGTAGTATTGCCAATAACAGGTTTCCCTTAAATTAACAAATGGCACTGTAATAATCAAACTTTGTTAGTTTGCAGATCTATTGATCTATGCAACTGTTACTTAACTACGAGTTCCTCTTCTCTACAAGTAATGCAGTAGGTAATGAACCACACTATCAAGCCATCGGCACACTGTCATCGAGCATCAAGCATGAATCAGACATCAAGCGTTGCGCGTATCAAATACTATGGAATTTATACTATCCTGGTACATTAAATCACGCGCCTCATGGCATCTAGTGGCGCTTCAGGAGCATTACTCAATAACCATACCTAACTACGCAAAAAGTTTTATCATTGTGACTTAGGAATATATTCCAAAGCTCCGCACAACCCCTAGGGGAAAATATATAATAATAGAGATAGAGTTTTATAAGGTATAAAATTCTATCTCTATTTTTACCCAAAGTTTTTGATGTTAAATTTTTATACCAGCGTAAAATAGCAGTTTAACACTGCAGTGTTTCGTATGGTAAGTGTAGAGAACCGGGGACCCATTTTACTCGAAAAGAGGCATTCCATCTTAGTCCTCACGGGTGATAACGCATCTGTATTTTGATTCGCAAACTAGGATAGATGTAGATGTCTATGGGCCACAGCAACGACTTACCATCAGGTGAACTGTGTGCTTGTTTGTCACCCCATCCTATAAAAATAAAAAAAAGAAGTGTTATTGTAACAATAATATACTTACTGGTACAAATAATGTAGGAATGGCTCCTTTTAATAAAGTTGTATTTACTCTGGTTTTTGTTATATATTTCTCAATAAAATGTTTACTATAAAATTGTAGAGTTCTTCTTAGGATTTCATACAACCCGCCCAATTAATACCAACCATTTTTTCTAACTAAAGGATCCAGAGGGAATCTGTTTGACAAACGGCAAAATAAAATTTTGTTTTTAGAACGCAAATCGAGCATTTAATGTCATTCTTCTTTTTGTTGTGTATAAAAGTCTATCGATTCTTTATACACATTAAAGATAAATATCGACATTAATTTTGATATAGTTGAGTCAATCCTTAGCGTAAATGTAAAATATTTTGTTTAAAAATGAATTCACCAAAATCATACAAATTATCAACAATGTGACTTTTTTCTTTGCAAAATATCAAAATTAATAAAATAATTGAAAATATTACGTATTTTAAGCAGTCTATAACATAAATTTTAAGCAAAAATAGACGTGTCTTATTATTGACGACGTCTTGCGAATTTACCTGTGAAATGTGCAACCATCAGGATTACTTCTATTGTTGATACCACAGTCACTTACGGAACATGAAACCATTTTGGAAAACTATAAATTATACAAATTAACACTATTATAATCTAAAAACACACAAAATATCTAGTTACAAGCTTATTTCTTGCGCGCCGACTTGCGCCGACCTGTCATTCAAAATCGGTTACAGAGTCATGAGATTTGGTATCCTTTTCTATCTTGCAATTTTGCCATAAGGAATTTTATTCTCCCTTGCACACTATGTTGGTCTATACGTATATCCTAACGGGTGTATTCATAATCATTTTTAAACAGTTCATTAGTTAAAAAGTGTTTTGTCTCATTCTGACATTTGCGAGATACTTGTTGCTAGAAAGTGACAAAACACTTTTTAACTAATGAACTGTTTAAAAATGATTATGAATACACCCGTAAGTCTATGATCTACAGTACGGACTAAGCGTTCCAATTGTCTACGGTTCTAATGTACCCGTACACAGGAACGCTAGCCTGTACCTGCAGGTCGGTTTCTTTACTCATGTGCCTGCAGCAACCAGCAATGCATATACAATTTGAGCACGCGTGTCGCCAGTCTGCCTTTGGTTGCACAACGTGAAGTGGTGGTGCAAACGACAGCTGTGTTTCGAGACATGGCGGATACTGGCTGGTGACTTGCGAATTATCATAAAGCGTTCATAGTCACGCAATGTATAAAGCGTATATAAAGTATATAAAGAAAACACTTTAATTATTCCATGTTATATTTTCTAAAAAAATATTTTGTATTGCTACTTCTACAAAAAACGGTTTGAAAAAAAATTTACGTGGATGTCCGCATGTTGATTTTGTATATGGTCACGATAACTCCCTGGTTCCCTATTTCATATCAATAGCCTAGTACGCGTCGTTTGTTAATAAAATGATTTTCAAGTTTTATAAATTTTATTGCTATGAATTTAAAGGTGCTTCCATTTTCTTTAGTTCTTAATAGACAAAGGACAAATGTAACATACAGCCTATATCGATTTTATACTTAGTGTAATCGAATTATTTTGGTAATTTATTTTTTTCATCAAAATTAAATGAAAATAGATTCTCCGAACTATTTAGTATCCCATATATTTACTTACAAACCCAATATATATTGGGTTTGTAAGTAAATATATGGGAGGTTTTCGCAAGTCAATAAAAAACAGACATGAATTTATAAAACGATATTAAATAAACACAAAAATCTAATTAAGTTACTGCCTTAAAAAGGTTGAATTTATTTAAAAGGCTTTTTTTCAGTGATCAAGATATTTTATCCCAATATCAATATACTTTTGAATGATAGCACGCAATAAATGAAGCAAATGGTTGAGCTCCATGGCGATTGATGGAATAGGTGTTCATGAAGACACGTAAAAATAGGTATATTTTCCTATGAACAACTTCAAGGCCTCAGTAACTAAACTAAGTCATAATATAGCCATTCTTTTAAAAAGATATGTTTTTTTTTAAATTATTGTTTCCGCTTTTATGCATGTGTCTGTTCCGCCTAATATATGGTTACGTCATTTGATAGATCTATAATATATGACCACCTCTATCTTTCATTATAATAAATTTATGAAAATGATTTCGTTCTTCTGATACGAATGCACCTTGACATTTCTCACAAACAAGTGTCTGTAGCAAAAATCTGACTACATAACAGTAGAAAATCACTTGTTTTGATGTCTCAGATAGAAGAGTCTCAGGTAACGCCAAATCATTTCCACAATCAATTATAAACTGTGATTATAATCACGTCTCAGGGCCATAATCCATCACTGGCAACACGCACTGCTACCTAGGCAAGTTGAATCCGTCGATTGACCACTCGGTCGAGGTTGGTCTTACCTATTCGGACTATTTTTCCTAGTACTCATCTACAACTTCGAGCACTAAGCTCGAAGTTCTCTCTCAACAAACTAACTTTAAATCCTAGGTAAACATACTTAACTTGAGTACTTATATATTTTTTTATATTGGGAAATGCCTACGCATACTCGCCTCGTGAGGGCAAGGACGGGTTATGTTCGGTTCGGACCTAAACCCCATAGTGTTAAACATTCGCTTCATATTGGCAGAGCCACGGGAACGCTTTCGCACACATCCGTAGTCCCACCAGCCCCGCCCGCCTAATGGCAGCCTCTCCTTGGGAGAGGACTTCTCCACCCACTTTTCCTTCACCGGTAAGGCGCACCAGGAACACAAGACGCACCTTCCTTCGTAGCCTCCAACTCTACCTGCGTAACCTAGGGAAAATGACGCCTCGCAATACCGACACTCCTCTGCTCCCGCGGTCTCACCTTTTTCACATCTGCAGCTCCGCCATAGTGGCGGAGGATAGGGCGAATGGTGTATCGCCATACGAACACCCCTCTTCCCCCGCGACTCCACGGCTGTGGTGGGAATGGAGGGAGGATATCCCTCCCGCAACAGTCCACCAATTCACATCTGGAGTGGGCCAGGCAAGCCCTACACTTCGGGTCAGCCAAGTGGCTTCCTCTTTGTTCACCGCGGGTGACCAAGCCACGACTACTTAGCCCCCCCCCCCCTATGATAAGGCAGGAACCCGATCGCGGGGGGGGGGCGAGGGTGGTACCAACCCAGACTAACTCCTAGGGAAATAAAACTATCAGGATAAGACGATAATATATTTATTACAAAAATATACTTATTCAATTAAAGTTTCTTTTCATTTTCTCTTTGTTGCTGGAATTCCCGTATCCACTGCCGTATGTTTCTTTTGTGTTCACGGCGCGCAATTTTTACAGACTCTGGATCGTTAGGGTTTTCGGGCATCAGGTCGAGGTGATGCGCAGTATCGATCATTACAACCGCCTTCACTGTGTCACTGATACTGCTTAGAAGGCCGCCTGAAATATATTAAGTTTGATAATTGTGCTGGCACTATCACTATATTTATTACACGTTGAATCATTTTAAGTTATGTCACTATAAAAATACGACTACACTTACCATACGAAACAGCAGCATTAAGATGCTATTTTACGCTGGAATTTTGTGAGCGTGGTCCTACCCCGGTCGAGCCAGCCAATTCGTGTTACAACCATAATATAGCTGCAGGGTGGCTCTATCACGTATAAACACAATTACCTCCAGCCCAAGGGTCCAGGAGACCGTTGCTGAATACGATATTAGAAGCTGCAAACAGCCGGTCGCCGCCGTACTCTAGTCTCGCGGCATCCGGTCGTGGGTACACGTTGTACTTCTTGTGGCAGTCCTCCGAGACCTTGGTGATGTTCCAGGGGCTCGGCTCGAACATGTCGCTCTCACCGGTCGTGCACATCGGCATTACCATTTCAGTACAGGCCTGTCAATTTCATAGGACATTATTCGATGGAAAAAAAATATAATAATTTGATAGTAAATTAATATATACATATGAATAAAATTGAAGTATCTCTCTGTAATATCGAAATAGCTGGCCAATATTGAGCTAAGTGGGCTATTTGTTTGCCAATAAGGCATGAATAAGTATTTAAAAAAAAATATCTGTCTATCTGTCCAGGCTAATTTTCGGAACGGCTGAACCGGTTGTAATAAAACTACACGAACAGATAGAGCGCAATACCAGGAATGATCTGGGCTATTTTTTATCCGAAAATCATGGATATAAAAAAGAACGAAAAATTTATAAAATCTTTTTTTTTTATAGGATAAGGGTGACAAACGAGCACACAGTCCACCTGATGGTAAGTGGTTGCTGCGGCCCATAGACATCTACATCTATCCTCTATTACAAATCAAAATGTAGATGCGTTGTGACCCGTGAGGACTAAGATGGAATGCCTCATTTCCCGTAAAAAGGGCCTCCGGCCACCTGCACTCACCAAGCGAAACGCAGAGGTAAACCGCTACTTCACGCTGGTTTTCTGTGAGGTCGTGGTACCACCCCGGTTCGAGCCGGCCCATCCGTGCGACAGCAAAGCTGTCGCGTGGCTCTACCACTGTTTATTGTAATCTAAATAACACCGCATTAAAAGATCCTATCTTACTCAGACGTAGCCAGGACGGGTCGTTATTTTAAAATAATTTGCTACTAGACTTCATTTAATTTTATTCTCTTTGTAAGCAAAAGGTAAGAGCGAGACATCAACTCAAGTAAAATTTTGCTGGAGAAGTCTTAAAAATAAAACATTTTTTACTTTTACTTATTTTATTAACCAAAATCAGAACATTATTACGCTCTACCGAGAGGTCGGAATAGAATGGAATAGAACACAAGTTACCTACTTTTATCATTGAATGAAGGAACATATTTATTTGTAAATATGACCCATTTCGTCGTTTCATAAGCAAAGAATTTGTTAAATACTTGATTAGCTGATTATCACTAACAGACGCACCAATAAAGATGTAAAGGCCTTCTCTCTCTTCTGATAAGGAAATGTCCGCCGCGCTGCCCCAAAGAGTGTTGGCTGATTTCACATGTGTTCGAAATATTTTTTTTATTTCTCAGACATGTTACATGACAGGTTTCTTCACAATGTTTTCCTTTACCGCCGAGCACGTGGTAAATTAGCAATTAAAACTGCAATGAATAATTTCATTGGTGACGGCGGGGATCGAATCCTAGTTACTCGCGTATTGTGAAATTTACAACGAGCACTCAACTCCTTGGCTACCACGGAATGTGTAATTGGTTTCTCAGGAATGGCTCTAACGATATGGATACAATTTTGTATTTGATAATAATTTACTTTTCGAGGTTATTTTCTAACGCCGAGCGAAGTTCAATCACCCAGACTTACTTTTAAAATATATTTTTATTTAATATAGATTATTACATAATAACTATTGAAAGTCATTATGATTTCTTATATTTACGCGAACACTACATATTGAATAAAACTACTTTTACGGATTCTATCGCGTTTTATGCTGTAAAGCACCCGAAACGTCGGGATAATATATAAAATATAAAAATTAATATATAAAAATTAATATAGGGAATTAATAAAAAAGTCGTTTTATTCAATTTGTAGTGTTCGCGTAAATATAAGAAATTATATAATATCACATATAATATGAAATCATATAAATATAAAAAAATCATTTACGGATTCTATCGCGTTTAATTAACTTATTTGAATTAATCAAAATTAATCAGTCCCCCGTTACCATGGGTTCTGTAAACCTCCCGAAACGTCGGGAATTAATAAAAATAAGTTGATTAAACGCGATAATATCCGTAAAAGTAGTTTTTTTTTTATAGGAGAGGGGGCAAACGAGCATGCGGCTCACCTGATGGTAAGTGACTACCGCCGCTAGGGTTGCCAGATCGGAAGACCAAAATATCTGGACAAAATTTGAAAATGTCGGGATTTTGGGGTTGTTGTCGGGAGAAATAAATGTTAAAAATAAAAATGTAAAACAAAAATATTATTTTTTAAATTAATGGGCTACAAATATACTTGACATTGTTGACAGATAATTAATGTAACTACACTTAATTTTGAGGTTGCCACAGGTATTTGGCATTGGACTTTACTGAATCCACCAATTTGGATACTTTAGTGGTGTTCAGAAAAGATTTAAAATTTAAACAATTTTCCTCAAAGTTCATTCTAATTAGTAACCCAGCTTTTATTAAATCAATAGCCATACGATTTCTCTCTTTAGTATATAAACTATTTAGTAAACTTAATACCCTTTCACAATAAGCATTGCTTACAAGAATTGACAACATAAATGATATAATTTTTTTTAAATTTCATAATTTTGTTTTGGTTGTATTTCAATTTTAAATTATTAACAATTCGAGGAGCTGTTTGTCTGGAGATTTTGAGTTTTATCGGGAGTCGGGAGATCATTTAAAATGTCGGGAGAATCCAGACGAATCCCGACCATCTGGCAACCTTAACCGCCGCCCATGAACAACTGCAACAACTGGGGAACCAGGGGAATTGCAGATACGTTGCCGGCCTTTTAAAAAGGAGTACGCTCTTTTCTTGAAGGTCCCTAAGTCGTATCGGTCCGGAAAAATCGCTGATGGTAATCGATACCACAAGGAAGTCGTGAGAGGAAGAAAACATCTTCTAAATCGCACAGTGGTGGACCGCCAATCATCCAGGTGGTGTGGATGGTATCGGGAGTTCTGCCACGATGTGCGTTCGTGAAATTTGGCGGCTGGGATTAATCCCAACAATTCCTCAGAGCACTCTCCGTGGTAAATACGAAAGAAAATGCAAAGGGATGCAACATCTCTTCGCAGTGACAATGAATCGAGCCGATCGGAAAGGACTCGGTCCTTTAAAGTTTTATTCAATATTGAAAGTCATATTTTATTTTACCACTAGCTGTGCCCGCGGCGTAGCTCGCGTATAGAGGTTTTACATAAAGAATTTGTCGTTTAGGTAAGAGAATATTAAACGATTTATTTCATTACTGTATCAATAAGTGGTAACTAAATAAATCATTATCATCAAAGTTCTAAGTCGTTTATGATAGAGCTTCTGTGTAAACGACGTTAGAAGTAGGCTTAGCCGGGGTATACACAAAAAGGTTACGGGGGCTACTAACGCGGGAAAAAGCAACATAGAGTTGGCCATGTGCAAAACAGTCAGTACTGAGGTACACTCCTACAACGCGTAAAGTTTGACCTTGCGCTTTATTTACGGTCATCGCATAACACACGCTCACTATAACTGGGAACTGAACGCGCTTAAAACTGAATGGAAAGTTACTTCTTAATAGAGGGTTTTTGGGCAGTGCTGCCAGATAAAAAAAAACTCATTCAGCTCTAGGACAACACAAAAAGCGCTAGATTTCATGAAAACAGCGCTTTAAAAAAGCCCTAGATTTCGCGCTAAATTAACTACAAACAAAGTTTGTGTTTTTTTATATAATCATAATAAAGAAAACAACATTAAGTTTTTTTTCTGGCAATATTTTTTTGATGTATCAATACTTCGCAGGACATTGACTTATAATTATAGCAATTGCTGTCAACAGTAGTTAGTACTGTACGAACAATAAAAATGTCATTAATTGTTTAAAAGTGCAATGTATTTCGCAACTTAGTTTCAGATGTCAGCATCTGATTGCGGTTGCTACACAGTTTCTTTATGTTATAACTTCTAAGTAACTTTTAACTTAGCTGTGCTCTAAGCAACTGACTGAAACTGAATAAAGCAAAATAAATGCGTTGCCAGAACCATGAACGAAAACTTTAATAAAGGGGATTTCCCCGCTTATAGTCGTCGGTAAAAAAATCAAGTTGATCATCCTAAAGGGGAAGCCAGGAGATCCATAGCACAGGGTATCCTAGTTTGGACTCGTCTCCCATACTCTTTGTTTTGTGGAAAAAATATGTTTGAAAAAGATAAACTGCAATGTACTATTTGTGGGAAAAAATAATAAAGGTCATTATTATTATTATCGGTAATGTGGACCAGTGCTGCTATAAAAGAGTTAATAACCCGCTAGTCGCTAAAATATTGAAATGTGTGCTAAATACACCAAAAAGCGCTCGATTAAGCTAGGTGCTAAAATTTCGAAATGCGCGCTATACATTCCAAAAAAGCGCTAAATCTAGTTCCCAAAGCGCTAAAATGGCAGTACTGATTTTGCGTATATTATAAATACAATATCACGACATTTTGTTGCAAAATTTTTATTTTTGGTGGGGTTCCGTTGTATGGCTTCGATGGATACAAATTTCTTCAGTAAGTCTCAATACGATTCATCGGCGAAAAATCTCAACACAGCAATTCAGAAAAGTTTGTAATTTGTACCACTCCATCTATTACGTCCTTTGTGTGAGAAAACATCCTTTTTAAATCTCTTATTGTGTTTTAAGTATAAATATATTAATTATTATGGAATGTTTTTTTACACATAAATCTTTTTATTACTATTTCTGAGATTTTATGGCGCCATTGAACAAATTCGAACCTACATTTCAAAATAATAATCATTACTTTCGATAGTATTAACCAATTTTAATAAAACAAAGATTAAATGTAACTCGAAGATACGCTTTATGATTTTCTTAACGATTTCTTTGAAAATAAAAGATGTTTACTTTAGACGTGATGCGTTCATATAATAACAGACAAATAGACAGACAGACAATTCTAAAAATTATAAAGTGTTCTTATTTAATTATTTTCAGTTCCCCATAATGATTTTAGCCACCAAAATATATATACAATGTACAGAAAGAGACACAACATGTTATCATCATTTTTATTATATGTATATATTTAAAGAGAGATGGCGCTGCTAACATCAATTCTAAAAATAAAAGAGATTAATTGACGCGATTGATACATTATATAAAACGCAAGAGAACTTATAAATCAGTGCCTGCACAGTAAGCAAAAAATAAAGTTTGACTCTCGCCAAAACCAACGCAATTGTTAATAGCTCTTTTAAAATTTGATTTACCACATAGAGTACTCGGCGGTAAAGAATAAATTGAGTTTGTCAACACGCAGTAGGGCAGCAAGTAATATAATAAAAATTAGCAATAAATATGAAAACTCATCTACTGGATAAAACCAAATTGCAATTGCATTTCATTTTCACAACACCATCTATCGAAGAAATGGGTTAACTATTGTGCTTCAGATTTAGTTAATAAGGTTAATATATTTTTGTATAATATATTTAATACGTTCTTTAATACTTTTGTTTACTGCGTTTTAGATATACATAATTATATCATTATTTTACATAATTTAACTATGATTTATGTGCATTTTAAACTAATATCATAATATGATATTAGTTTAAAATGCACTTGATGACTCAAACAAAGCCACCGTTGAGCAAATTCGTACCTATACTTCCCTACCCATACTTCAGAATATTTATCATAACTTTTGATGGAATGAACTGATTTTAATGAAATAAAGACTAAATGTAACCCGAAGATACACTTTATAATTTCCTTAACAATTCTTATGATATAAATTAGTACTTTATACGTGATACGTTAACAAACAAACAGACAGACAGACAGACAGACAGACAGACAGAAAATTCTAAAAATGGTAGAAATGTATTTAATTACTTATTTTTAGTACCCCTCAATCACTTTTATTACAAAAATATAAAATGTACAGACATCTGCTATTTACAGTTTTATTATATGTATAGATTGTTTCAGAAAATATCTCTGTCCTGGGAAGAACCAGCAAGAAATCCAGTGGGATTTTTTTTAAGCGAGCACTAAGCCTTGAGCTATCACGGCTCAAATAGATATGTACAAATTATAAATTGAAATATTTTTTATATTACCTGGTAATCCCAGCCACTCGCATCAAGGTTGCCATAGTCGTTGCCTTTTTTGTAGTCGACACATGGACTTTTACCAGTGTAATTTGTAAACATTTCCAGCACATTTCCAATAGCCTGCAAAATGTCAGATTTAAGCACAAGCTAAGTAAAGAAACTAATGTTTATATATATGTAGTAAAGTCATTTTGCATTTGTATTATGACTGTAGCATAAACAGGTCTGCACGACTGGGGAAAAATCGTGCCCTTAGAGCATTCTGCAATTCCTATACAAATAGGAGCATAAAACTGCAGTGTGAATGAGATAAAATAGTAGTACTATTGTATGATAAGGGATAAAAACCAACATTACATCATATTAGTGTTCAAGGGTGAAATCACATCTTTATTTTGACACATCGAGGACAGATCTCGATCGAGGGCACCTAATGTGTATGGGCCGCAGCACTCACCATTAAGTGGACGGTGTGTCCGTTTGTCACCATTACTTTTTTAAGATTTTTTTTTTACATTAATATAAATCTTAACACAAAAACATTTTTTACACAGTATAATAAAAATTACCGCGAAAAATGTCATGAAGGCTGATTACACGCGGGTTGTCCCGGCTCTAAAAAAGGGTTGCCAACTATATTTAATTATTAACTAGGTATATAATTCTTAGGAGAAATATTTCATGACCAGATGAGTAATAATATAGAGAATAGATTTATAAGAATGTAAAGATATTCTATGAAAATTAAAGGAATGCTGCAATTATTCATATTTTTATTGTAAATCTGCATATGCAAAAAAGTATATTGAATTTTTAATTTTTTTATCAGTCTTCAAATATAGTATCTTCATCATCATCATCATCATTACAGCCTTTCATAAGTCTACTGCTGAACATAGGCCTCCCCCAAGGAATGCCACAAAGCACGGTCCTGAGCCACCTGCATCCATCGACTTCTTGCATGTCTTACCAGTTCGTCACTCCATCTCGTGGGGGGTCGCCCTGCACTTCGCCTACCGGTACGAGCTGCCACTCAAGAACCTTTCTTCCCCATCGGTTGTCGGTTCTTCGAGCAATATGGCCGGCCCACTGCCACTTCAGCTTACTAATCCGTTGGCCTATGTCGGTTGCTCTGGTTCTACTGCGGATATACTCATTTCTAAGTTTATCACGCAGGGAAACCCCGAGCATAGCCCTCTCTATAGCTCGCCAAGCGACCTTGAGCTTCCTCATACGGCCAGCAGTGAAGGACCACGTCTCAGATCCGTAAGTCATCACTGGCAACACGCACTGGTTGTACAATTTCGTTTTAAGGTTTTGAGGTATGTCTGACGAGAAGATGTGTTGTAGTTTCCCGAACGCTGCCCAGCCGAGTTGAATCCGTCGATTGACCTCTCGGTTGAAGTTGGACTCACCTAGTCGGACTATTTGTCCCAGGTAAATATACTCGTCAACAACTTCGAGCTTAGTGCTCCCAACAACTACCGGCATAGGCGTGACATGGACATTAAACATGATCTTTGTTTTGTCCATGTTCATCTTAAGACCTATTCGTTGGGAGACACTATTGAGGTCATTGAGCATGGTGCTTAGGTCCTCCAGCGATTATAAATATAGTATCTTAGCGTACTATATATATTCGTAACGGTATGTCGTACACCTATTGAAAACATAGTACAATACTATATTACATACTACGGTAATGATTTTTTATTGATTATTTATTGAAATAAATAATAAAAAATCAACTCACCACTAAAAGCTTCTGGCCAGTCAGTTTCTGGTTCAAATACTGGCACACGGTCCGCACAGGGTAGGCCGGCAATGGCAGCAGGAAGTCCGTAGCAAATGGGTAGTTCACCATGGCCAGGGTCTCGTACATTGACTGCAGAAAATCTATCAGAGTTTGAACGTCGGTCGCGTTTTTGATCGGATCACATAACTTCCACTGTGTCCGCAGCCAATCAGTGTTGTTTTTGGTTGTAACGAAGTTTCTAGAGAATTAAAAACAACTTTTAATTATAAAATTAAAATAAAACATCTATGGGTGTATGTACAGCAGTGGGCTTTTTTTTATAGGATAGGGGTGACAAACAAGCACACACTCCACCTGATGGTAAGTGGTTGTTGTGGCCCATAGACTCGATTACGAATCAAAACGCAGATGCGTTGTCACACGTGAGGACTAAGATGGTAAGCCTCCCTTCCAGTAAAAAGGGTATCCGGTTCTCTACACTCACCATACGAAACACAGCAGCATTAAGCTGCTATTTTACGCTAGTATTCTGTGAGAGTGTGGTCCTTCCCCGGTCGAGCCGACTCATTTGTGTTACAACTATACTAGATATATAGCTCCAGCATGGCTCTTCCACGTATAAAATATGTTATTTCTTAGACATGCCGATTTCCTCACGGCGTTTCCTTCACCGCCGAGGATGTGGTAAATTAACACTTAAAGTAGCGCGCTATTATTCAAAAATAATTAATCCTCAGAAGTATACCTAATGACGCTCCAAGATTGTCTTATGTTTTCCTTGCAAGTGATGTTGGCTACCACAAAGCTGGACGTCACGATTCTGTGGTAGACATTACAAGGCAGCATGCCAGGGAACATGTGGACGGGCGCTGAGGCGGCAATGGCCCCGGCAACCAGGTGCGGATACTTCATCCGGAAGTAGGCCGCAAGCATCCCGCCGTAAGAACCTAATAATGTATGCATATGTGTGTATGAATAAATTGCTGCGTTTCCTATTTAATATATTTCTTATTTAGGACCATAATATACAGGGTTATTATTCAAAGAGTAGCCAAAGAACTTAAGTTCAAATATATAAATAATAATACATATACCGTTATTGCAATTTTTAAAAATATGATTAAATAAGGCTTCTACTTTTATTTGAAATTATCCCAAATTGCATGTGATTTATGGGCAAAACCTATGCGTACGCGCGCTTCGCTGTGCGATTCAATTTACAGCGTTTTTGCTGACCTCTACGAATGTGTGCGTGCGCAGTAAAATCAGTTAAAAATAATGCATTACCGCGTATTCTGAATTTAAACGATAAAAAGGACAAAAAATGTTTGAGATTCTTTTTTATTAATTTTTCATCATCATTTACCTATATTACTTATTTATACTGAACCTTCTCTGCTGGGATTGGCAGGTTATTGCAAAATAACCTTGTTTACATACTAGTAGTCGCCTAATGGTCAAAATTCGACCATAATTCACTATATTTGTAATGCTGATCTAGTGGTCGAAAGCGCGGGATAATTAGGTTCGAATCCCGGGTCAGGCCAAAATCAGTTGTTAAGTTTCTTTGTCAAGAAATTCTCAGTGTCAGCCCAGCTTCAAGAATATGGCGGCGTTTCACCCCAGTGTCTTGCAAAGCAAGTAAAGCCGTTTGTCCTGCGCCTGATCTCTCTCCGGTCGTGTCGGTTTACCGTCCTATCGGACTACGTGAGTGAGGGAGAGTGCACCTGTGCTTGCGCATAGACTCGTGCACTATAATATTGTCCTGCGCACATGGCTAGTCTCCGTGACTGATATTGGACTCAAAGCACCAAAGGTTTTTTTTTAATTTATATATCTTGTATATTTTACGGGTAACGACGAATGTGCAATATGGGTGACAAACGAGCACCTAGTCCACCTGATGGTAAAAGGATGCTGTGGCTCATAGACATCTACATTTATTCTGAATTAAGAATCAAAATGCAGATGCGTTATCACCCCTGAGGACTAAGATGGAATGCCTCGTTTCCAGTAAAAAGTATCCGGTTCTCTACACTCACTATACGAAACACAGCACAGCAGCATTAAGCTGCTATTTTACGTTGGTATTCTGTGAGAGCGTGGCCCTACACCCGTTGAGCCGACCCATTCGTGCTACAACCATAATATAGCTGTATCGTTATTATACCACGTATAAAATATGTGTTAAATCTACAAATAATCTTTCGGGGTCTGAATGTTTGTCCTTGTGCAATTTATGTATGTAAACTGTCTCGACCATACAGGAGAAAATCCTTGTGTTTACATTACCTACACTTATTCTTTGGTTCGCAATTGTGTGCAGTTTAATTAACTTTAGCTTGAATATTACGGAGTGAAGGGGAAGATTGTTCCAGAAATAAAAATGCCTTGAAAGCCAACTGTGACGACACTGTATATAACTACTCACCGCCAAAAGCAATAACTGGGTATCTTGGTTTCAAACTATTGTCTTGAAGGAAGTTGACTAGTTCCGCGTAATCAGCGAGGGCTTGTGCCGCAGTCAGGTAGCCGATGTGGTCATTGTCGAGGGATTTGTTTCCGAATGGCATGGACGCACCGTAGTACCTGCAGAGTGGACATAAGAGGTGTTGTTGTATTAAAATACAATACAAGGTTTGGTGATGGGTTATAGTTTTTAGGACCGCTGTGTTGGCTTGAGAATCCATCTCATAATGATTTATATTTTACGCGAATACTACACATGAAACTAATTTTAAGGAAGAAAGAAAGAAACACAATGATATGACCCACACACAACATTGAGAAACGTATAAAATAATAGTGACCAATGAGCATGCGGTCCACCTGATGGTGAGTGGATACTGTGCCCCATAGACATCTACATCAATCCTCAATTAACAATCAAAATTTAGATGCGTTGTTGGCCGAGGGCGAAGATGGAATGCCTCACTTCCAGTAAAAAAGGGTCTCCAGTTCTCTACGATCCACGATACCGTCAGTGCGTGGTCCTATCCCAGTTGAGCCAACCCATTCGTGTTACAACCATAACATAGCTGCAGCATGGCTCTATCACGTGCGAAATAAGCAGGTAAATAAGCAGTTGTGTGATGTCGATAATACTGCCTCAGTGATTATATGTGGGATACCACTGCATTGACTTTCATTCGGGACTTTAATTAACTTGTGTGTAAATGTCGGGAATTTATAAAATTAATGGCCAAATACTCAAACTCTACTCAATTTTAAGATGTCATTAAGTCTTGTGCTGTCACAGTCACTATGATTTAAAGCGATAGAGACAGCACGAAACTTAATGGGATCTTGTAATTGAGTTGAGTATCATTTCAGTATTTGGGCATAAGTTATTTAGATAATTATAATTATAGGTCTGCATAAATAGGAGTTGTTTTGGCTCGTCGCTCACTTAGCGGTCAGCCACCGCAGATTCTAGATCACCTGAAGATGTCTCGTGTAGAGGCGAAACACGTGTCGTATTGTTGTCAGTGTTGTGTCTTTCATAGTGTAGCGGTGCTGGGATTAGTGGTAATGGTGATAGTGCACGCAATTGAGGGAGGGCGGGAGGTGCTCTTCAAACTAGGTAAGACACATCATTTTATTTTATCGAGCGGATGTACGCGAAGTAATTTTTTTACCAACTTTAATATAAGTTATTTAACCTCGATAAATTCCGTAAATAACTAGTTTCATTCAACGTGTAGTGTTAGGGTAAATCTATGATAGTGTTAAATTAAAGTTAGCTATAGATACACCCTAAATCCATCCCACTGCTGGACACAGGCACAGGCCTCCTCTCATTTCTGAGAAGGTTTTTAGGGCAAGAAACTCCCCAATGCATGTTGCCGCACTTAAGAAATAGTTTTTATAAATAATTTAGAAAGAATTATATTTTCACCACGAATGAACTCAAATCAAAAAAATCTTTACGGTTAGTTAAAAAAATAAAAAAGGTTACTGTTGCTACCGTGTTAGCTACTGCGTTACAAGTCGTTGGTCGTTGGTGTTAGTGGGCTAAGAACTCATGGAACGATATTAAACCCACACCTGCGGCCGTAGGGAATTTTTAATTTTTTTATTTCAATAAAATGTACAATTATTTCAAACAATGCCTTAATCTAGAAATAGTGTACAATAACAGGTAACTGAACTAGTCTAAACCTGTATCAAATGTGTAACTGCTAATTTAATTCAAAACTCACGAGACTGCAGTTGTGTGCGGATTCCTGCCCGCCGCGGAGGTAGTAATGCCCACAATTTTGGTGTGAGATGAACGCAAGTCGGGCCAGGCACTACACGGACTATTTGCAGACTATCGACAGAACGATTATCAGTAAAGTGCCAGGCCAAGAGCCCGCACTCTCGAGGCTTACGGCCGCAGAATGCAAGGGCGACCGCGGCCTACGTGATCCTGCTACCGGTACCGTTACCGTTACAGACTATTAAGGTCCACTGCTGAACATAGACCACCCTCATAGATTGCCTCGTGGTGGATATTTGCCATAGTTGCCGCACTTGACAAGCGGGTTGGCAACCGCAGTTTTTTAATTTTAGTTGTAATTTGGAAGACTGCTGCTGCTAATCTCCTGATTTGTTTCTCCCTGTCGCCTCCTACGTCACCCACGGGATGACATGGGTTAGTGGATATTCTTACACCGCCACCACACCGTTCTGCTAGTTGCCAGCTGGCAAATTTGCAGCTGTTGGCGGTAGTGGAAGTAGCATGCAACCGCACACGCCTTGGGCATAAATCGCGTCGTGAAAGTTCTAAGTCTTAGTTTTACTGGCTGCGGGTATATGAGCCGCGGGTTTGTTTATCCACACAGAACAGGTATGGCCTATAAATATTTGTACTGGTTCGAATGTTTGTTACTGTGTACCCATCTCACCAGCCAACCTGTAGCTACAAACCCATCTCCTGTTTAGCTTCCCTGTGTATTTGTGCTACCTACAAATAATTTTGCCAGATCTGGATGTTTGTCCTTGTGCAATTTGTATAAGTAAAACGTCTCCATGATACAAAATAAATTCCTTACGTGCCTGAGGTATAAATGGTCTTGCTACATTGAGGAACCTATTTAGAAAGGTGTGGAATTACCTGTGTTCGGCGAAGACGATTTTAGCTCGAAACTCCTCAGCTATATCCCACATGAAGCCCGTGTGCTTTGCGAACAGCTCGATTTGACCCTGCAATTGAAATTTCTGGCGTGAATTTACAAGGTTATAAGTTATATTTCTAAATAGGTATTAACTGATTAATTAAGAATTGAAGACCTGGTATCATCACGCAACGAGTAATTTTATCCGACTTCAAAAAAAGGAAGAGGTTCACAATTCGACCCCATGTTCTTAACATTCCATAAGCCTTAATCGTGCTATTTTTATTACAATCCCTAGTTTTTTTTATGAATCTCGAAGATTGCGTTGAATGATATTGCGTGCATTCCTAATCCCTAACAGTATCATGCTAAACGTAATTTGCTATAAAGAAATGGAAGTGTTATGTTACAGTGAAACCTGGTTGAGTAGGCCCTGGATATCTGAGAAACCTCTGTTATTGATAACTAAAATGAGGTCCCGACATTTATGTAGTGAAATACCTCTGTTATTGGGAATTTTCAAACCTTGTTAATTGAGTTTAGATTTCATAGATTTTTTCGATGTTTAAATTTATAATTGGGATTTCACAGCTCTATAACCCGTATAAGTGAGACAATTTATCAGTCTTAGATAAGTTATTAAATCAATCAATCAAACTAAATCATTTATTTGCAATCCAAGTGTACATAATTGGTCTTAAATTAAAAATGTGCTTATAACTTAGACGCCCTTTTCAGGCACTGTAAATTTGACGAAGACATTGCTTATACACAGATAGTAAGAAGCTAGATAAAAATATAAAAATACATAATATTGTCTTTATCTAAATACTCCTCCACTGAGTAGAAGGGGTTTTGTTTTAAATATTTATTGAGTCGTGAAGTTATCACACGCTTGTTTATAATTGAAATTTTTTTCCATAACTTGCTTTGTTTATCAGTACTATCTCTTTATATGATAAATGGTACATTTCGACCACTTACAGTGGGACTCTCTATAAATAAGACAACGGTCATGTTAACCTGGCGGCTTGAGATGGCGGTATGAGCTTATGAAGTTCATGGACACATTCTCCGAAGTACAATCTGTAGGAGACCGACAAACAAGCAACTTGGCGGCGGTGAGCTAACTTTCCACCAATAAGTCTCTTGACTCTGCTGAGTCGAGTGCGTCAAGTTGATAATTTGCCGAGCCATCCCAAAGGTGATTACAATACTCCATGAGAATTTTTTTATGGTCTATAAATAATTTTGGCATCTTCGTCAGCCCATAAAAGTCCACTGTTGGACTTGATTCTCTTTTGTTGTTGGGAGGACTTCAATATATTGGTACCTATTAGGTTCGCTCTGGACTTTTTACAGTGTATAAATATAAAATTTGTTAATATCTCCACCGCAGCGCTATCTTTCGGACCAGATTTTGTGATATACAAGCCTTATTTTAACATGTGTTATATCTATATAAATTTATTTTATTTAGTAGTTATTTAAATCACCTCAAAATAATTTCTCTTACCACACCATGGGTTGACTGGCAGAGAATGCTAACAGGCATTAAGTCCGCCCTTTGTAACCTTTATGGTTAGTAAGTACCTAGAGTTAAAATTATAAATGAAATAAATAAATTTTCATTGGACATATTGTGCATATGAGCTATTTCGTCCATAAAAATATAATTTATTAATAACTTGACCACAGTGCCGCCTATAGGATCCTATCATATCTATGACCTATCGTCTCAGTAAAATAATATATGTACGTGGTATAGTGTTATACGTGGTAGAGCCATGTTGCAGTTATATTATAGTAGTAGTACGAATGGGTCGACTCGACCGGTGTAGGATATGACTAAACTTTCGCAGAACACCAGCGTAAAATGGCAGCTTAATAGTGCTGTGTTTGAGTGTAGAGAACCGGAAAATATTACCTAGAATCGAGGCATTCCATCTTAGTACTCAGGGGTAACAACGCATTCTGAATTTTGATACTTAATCGAGAATAAATGTAGATAAATCTATACATATAATAAATCTGTAGAAAAGTCGTGTCTGTAATTCTCATATATTCTTGAAAAAAACCAAGTCCAGGGGACGAAATAAAGTGGTTTTTAGAATTTTTGTCTGTCTGTCTGACTGTCTGTCTGTGTATTCCGGATTCACGCAAAAACTACAGGACTATCTATTATAGCACAGAATAAATAATAGTGATTATAGGCGGGATGACGGGTATTTTTCAAATAAATACCATATTTATAAATAAAGTTTAAAATATATTTGTAACCTTGGGTAATATAATTTAAAACTACACTGATTTAGCTATCAACAGCGCCATCTATCATCAAATGGAAAAAGTAGTATGTTTTGCCTTCAATTACTAATAAATTAAAGAACTTACATTTATATGTTTACTTAAATAATAAAATTATTGAAAAACTAGGTTTTTAGTGTTTTTGTTATTTTATTATAGAAGTGTATTAATTTCAGTAGATAATCTATCTATCAAAAATATGAAAATTGATAAGGTCTTTACTTCAATTACCAATCTATATGTAAACTGATTAAAACTGAACTGTCTGCAATTATTGCAAAATTTTCATTCTCATTACTTATAGTTTTATTAAAGAGATTTTTATATATTATATCGTTGCCAGATCGTAGAATTGATAGACTACTTTATGATATATGTATCTTATAGTAGTCTATCATTTCGTGAAATGGTGTGGTCATTTCATGATATTTAACACTGTTTGTTGACCATATCATGATATAGCTTGACCAAATCAACGAATAGAAATCGTAACTAAACACAACATGGTCATATGACGATATCATTAAATCGTTTTTCACCGCTAGCGACGCTGATAGCGTATTTTTTAAAAGAAACAGATCTTTTAACAGAATTGACATCACTTTATGCCTTATTGATATAATAAATAAATGTTCGCTTCTATCGTTGATATTACTCGATAGTATAGTTTTTGGCTTTCATTAGTTCATCTAATAAAAGCGCCATCTACTAACTTCTTAATAAACTAAAATGGTAAGTCACTGATAAAATTAAATAATAGAATGCTACATACTGAATATACGATGTAAATAATTGAAAATTCGTTCGTGGCATCGTTGGCTGTGTAATTACTAGGTACATGTGGTCAACGATCATGCAAAACCTTAGTTTCCATTTTTATGAATTGTATTTAAACAAATACCAGGGCCGTATATGAATAGAACAGAATATAATAAATGCAGTAGTAGTAGGGCTTGAATTTAATTTTATTAATTATGGGGTAGCAGATAGTAGCTCTCAGCCATCTTCCCTGTTATAATTAGGATGTTTTTTTTAAATTTAAATAGCCTCGCAAATCATCATTGGTGTTCTATTGCAAGGATTTGTTATCCATCAGATCCGATATAATGGTTGGGACGACTTTAAACATGTTGACATACTTTAGACCGGAGCGTCAGAGCGTCGGTGCTTCACATTAACGATATGTTCTTTTACGCAGGTTTTTATGGAACTTTCGTCTAAAGATGCCTAAAAAAATCCCACGTAAAAACAGTTAAAATCAAACGTGATAAAATTCGTAACATTCGTGTTACGAGCTTGAGGTTCGAGACAAGTAAAAACTGCCGAGTGAATTACCAAAATTGACTATTTAATTACACAACACTAATTACAACTTAAAATCACACTAATAATAAAACACAGTTCGCCGTTATTTCGCTTCGAAGTATTCTCTTGTATCGCCAATTCAATACTGCCTCTCCGCTAGGAGTAAAGTATTCTGTGATACTGCCCTGGTCGTGGTCTATACCGGCCTTATATAGGGCCTCAGATAATTTCCGGAACCTTCTACTGTAGCGACATCTAGAATGTTCGAGTACATTTCGGTCCCGAAATTTCTGGAAGGATCTCGACTCTCGTAGTTCTGCTACTCGACACTAGAGGGCGCTAGTGTAACTAGTGTTGCCATGTACAAGACATTAATAGTGGCGCGCAACACTTTCTTTTACTTGACACTAGAGGGCGCTAGTGTAACTAGTGTTGCCATGTACAAGACATTAATAGTGGCGCGTAACATTCGTTTTCTTCCATGTGTAGTATAGGTACATAATTTTAGAACTGCATTTATGAAATTTTAAAGTACTCGAACGTAAAAAAATATCTAGGTACATCTATTTTATGGTGTCAATCAATATTAAATAGGACCAATGATATGAATAAAATATCTCAAATAAACATTATGCCGCAAATTGATAGAAGACTATGAAACTCATCATTATTTTGTTAAAACTAAATTAACTTTAATTATGAATGAATGTAAAGAGTAAAATGTAAATATTAATAATAAATTTTGATTCCAAGACAATTTACGTTTCTTATGAATGTATCGGAAGACACGCCCGATATAAAAATAGTAAGTGTTTCTAGACATATATATTCACGTGTTCCTGTAGCATATTCTATCTATGTCAAATACCAATCATCTACGTCTAATAGTCTTCTAGAATTTAAAAAAATTCTTATAAATATAGACACAGACACCGAGGTGACTCTAACAGTGATCGAATTTAGCTAAATTTGGCAAAGACCAGCATTTAATGATGTTCCTAAATTCAAACTCACGCGAGCGAAGCCGCTGGTAAAAAGCTAGTATAGAATAAATGTCTATGGGCCACAGTATCCACTTACCATTCAGGTGGACTGTGTGCTCGTTTGTAACTCTTATTCCATAAAAATTAAACAATATTGAAACCGATTAGAGTCAAGTCGTTTAGAAGTTATACGATCGGTAACAGGCGCACCAAATATCTATACTGATACTAGCAGCTAGCTGGCCAGGCAGACGTTGTTCTGCCCTTTTCGATAACCCTTCATATAAAAAATCCTTAAATTCGTAATAAAAAAATATTGAGTGTCACTTATCAGGATAAAAACTATCCTTTCTCTCAAGTTGGACCGAACTGCACAGAGTGTGTAAAATTTCATTGAAATCGGTTCAGTAGTTTAGGAGTTCATCGCGGACAAACAACGCGAAGAGTTTTGTTTGTTTGTTTAAACGCGCTAATCTCGGGAACTACCAGTCCT